GTGATACTGCCTCGGAAACCCAAGGAGGGGTCGCTATGAGTCGGGGCCGACTCGACGGCACATAACAACAACAACAACAACAACAACAACAACATATCAAAGCTGTCCAAAATGTCTCAAGGTAGAGACCATTTATTATATACCTGCTATTCTATGTGCTTGTGCTGGATCACTTGCATAATATCAGTTGAGAGGTATTATACTATCTGCTGTAGCAGGAAAATAGAAGATGATTTTTGTTTTCAGTAAAATTACAGTTGAGGTGTGTCAACTAAATAAAATCACAGATATTATAGAATCATATAAGATAGTCCACATTTACATGCTTAAATGTTATAAGAATAATATAATTGATCAGAAAGACATCAGTTGGAATAAAATCATAGAGTGTGATTAGACAGTTTGCCCAAACCCTTCATTTGAGATGTGATGCAATCAATATGATGCTTCATTGAAGAACTGGGATTTGAATTAGGCCTTAAACAATGACTAGACTGAAAATAAATGTGAAATTAGAAGAAATTTAGCTAATTAATTTGTCTCACTTTTCCTGATTTTTATTGGTATGAAGACATACATACCCTATCCAACCGAGCTTTGTCAAATAATCCATAAATACATAAAGTACATGTGATTAACAATGCTTTTAATGCCAAAGATAGCTTATTTTCTTAATCCAAAACTCATTTTATATAATGATTCTTTTTGCAAACTATTAGTTGGTTATATTAACACTTGAGCAATCTTGACAAGAAGTTGCTTTAAGCAGTTGAAGATCCAGATGCTGATCAGCATGCATTAAGTGATTCAACTTAATTGGTTCCATCTAGATAAATTACTTACCTCAGTTCCTATCACAATTTCTTCCCTGGTAGAATAGAACAGAAATTCATACAGCTTGTAGTGTTGAAATAAGCTGAAATGCAAAGTAAATGTACAACTCTAGTAAATTTCCTTCAGAATAAAAGCAAATATGTTAGGATATTTATTAAAGGATTATTATTCATATTGACCAAGCTAAAGACATTAAATACTAATACAGAGTTAGCTACTTCCTTTATTCCAAAAGAAATTGTCCAGAAATGCCAATAATGTAAAGGTTTATTTTCTGATATGTTGAAAATATAACACAGTATTTAAGGTACTATCAATAAATAATGAATAGGTTTGGGATAAGGGAGCAATTATATTGCATCTTGGGTTTTCCTGGCTTGCTTAAAACCAAATAATGTCCCACCTCTAAATAACATCAGACCTCACATTATTTTTCATATTTTGGTCCAAACTGGAGTTGAAGTCAGTTATTTCTGGTATGAATGACATGAATTCTGTATCTACTTCTCTATCAATTATTTCTTTTCTGTTTCCAAGGCTATATTAAGATTAAATTAATCCCCAATAACATCAGAAAAGCAAGATGAACTGAAATTTATTTAGAAAAGGCTGGTTTTCCTGAAAGACATTAGATCACAGACAGAAGGGGAGGAATAAGAAAGACCTGGAGACTGTCCCCAAAGGTCATAGCCATGAAAACCCTTTGTGGAGCAGCTGTCGAAGCACAGGGGCCACTGTGAGTCAGAACCAACTTGACAGCAGGGGCTTGGTGTTCTGGTTACACAGTGCCACTCCAACAGGAATATACCACAAATGGGATGCTTTAACTAACAGGAGTTTATTTTCTTACAGTTTGGAGGTTTTAAGTCCAAGATCAAAGTGCCAGGCTCTAGGGACTGGGTGAAAGCCCCTCAACCTTGGGCTTCAGCTCTGCCTCCTGCTCCCAGCCCACCAGAACTAGGGGCTTTTCTTCACTCAGACAGCTACTGGCTGCTGAGACTAACAAGCCCAAGGTTGACAAGTAAAAAGGCACAGTCCCAATGTTACCAAACCACATGGCAGGCCATTAATTCAAGTCCATTGAAAGTTCCAAGGTCAGCAGAGCATGGCAGGCTGCTGACACGGCTACAAGCAGGGTTCAAGTGTGCCATAAGCTAGAGACCATTCCCCAAGGCATCTCCTTTTTACAGGAAGCAGATGATAGCGCTAAGGCAGCTACTCAGCTGCTCACAGTAGATTCTACCACGGAGTTAATTACCAGTCTCATCATGGGGAATACTACATCTATCTGCCCAGCCACTCAACCAGGCCCAGCCAAGCCGACACACAAACTTAACCACCACACATGGCTATCAACTACTTCCTCTCACATTCCTGAGCTGTATCAAGATAAATTAATCTCTAGTAACACCTGAAAAGTGATATAAGATGAACTCAAAGTAGAAAATGTCTAATTTTTCTGCAAGATATTGGATCACAAACAGAAGGGAAGAAATTAATTTAAGAAAGATCACTTCTTCACTGTCTATGCTAAAGAGTAGATAATCAATATATAAAAACTACAAAAAGATAAAGGAGGTCCTTACCCAAACCCATTGCCATTGAGTTGGATCTGACTCATAGTGACCCATCCTTGGGTTTCTGAGGCAGTATCACTATGGAAGTAGATTGCTCAACCTTCCTTCCAAGGAATGGCTGGTGGATATGAACCGCCAGCCTTCTGGTTAGCAATCAAATGCCTTAGGCACTATGCCACTAGAGCTCCCAGGAGGTCCTTAAGACAGATGTGTTTTTTAGTGGGTTTAAAGTTCTCAGAATTACATCATTGGGAGTTTGAAATTTACTGAAAGGCTGACTTCTAATATCCTGTTTGTGATATTTGAATTTTTCAAATTCTTTTCCTGCTGGTGGAGAAAATTAATAGACTCATAATATAGCAAAATGTCTAAGAACAAAAAAATAGTCTTAGTGGTTTCTCTTTCACTCTGGTGACTTTTGCTATTTAAGAAAATTGATTTTATAACTGAGAAATTAACATTTACAAAATGTAGCTACTGAGCATGTATAATAATGGCTTCTCCTGAATGCTGTAATGGATCAAAATTTCAATTCATTTGAAATCAATGATGAGATTCTCAAGAAGCTGGGTCTCTTTGAGTTATATTAGCAGTTGATCTCACTACAACACAATCCATTAAAAAGTGATGAGTGTGCAGCCTCGGTCATGGTATTTCTTTTTTTGGAAGAGGGTGGGAACCTTGAATTCTCAAATTACTTATCAACATTCAGAAAACTAACTTAACTTTTGACATCACTTTGATTTGTTGGCTAGAAAATATGTCAAGGTAAGTGAAATTTGTCAATTCAAAGAAGCAAAATAAATTCAAACCTCCTTCCTTTATATTGGTGACTTGAAGTTTTCAGCTCAAATGCATTACATTGGCAATAACTGATTTTGAATAGAAAAATATGGAAAACTGTATTTTGGAAATAGCCCTTTGAACTGATGTAAGACTTTCCTTTCTCTATCTTGTGTCACACAAAGAACTTAATTCATAACTCTTCCTTTCTGCAGTCTTGTGATCTTTCCATCTTAATCTCCTCATTGTGTACAGGAATGGGATTGTCCCATGCCAAGAGGGAAATTCACTTCCTACAGTGAAAATACAATGCATGACTTGAATGTAGTGGTCAAAGATGCAGAGTTGGGGGCAAAACCAGGCCTAGGGTGAACTGAGGGAAACACCTCAGGAGGTGCTCATCTCAGGGTCTGGCCAAGGCCCATCCCTGGCCTCACTCTAGTCCCCTTTGGACTGAATCAAATTCCTAGGCAATTTGGTCAGCTTTCTAGTCTTAGGCTCAAGTGGAAGGAAGAATACTCAGAATAAGAACAGACAAAGCCACCTGGCTCCATGCCAGGAAGTGCAATGATCTGCTGTGCATGGAGGGGCAGGGCTGATATTTTATATTGGGCAAATGCCTGTACATATTACCTTCACTTAATTCCCAGAAAATAGGTAGAATACACAGTAACAGATGTATAATCAGACAAGATACGTATCCACATGATGTTTTGTATTAAAAAGTTACCCAAACCAAACCCAGTGCCACTGAGTTGATTCCAACTCATAGTGACCCTATAGCACAGAGTAGAACTGCCCTCATAGGGTTTCTAAGGCTGTAAATCTTTACGAAAGCAGAGTTCCTCATCTTTCTCCTGCCAGGCAGCTGCTAGGTTTGAACCACTGACCTTTATAGTTAGTAGTCAAATGCTTTAACCACTGTACCACCTGAACTCCTAATTAGAAAGCTATGGCACCTTTTATGTTTGTATATATTATACATTCACATATACAAATGTATATATTGTACATACATAAGTAGATGTGCCAGTAATTAGAATACTGGAGAGTGGGGGTACAGAAGTTTGGCATTTTTTTTTTTTTCTTAAAAATCACAAAAACATGACCAAGCATACAATTTAGAGTCTATTAAGAATATCAAAAGAAATTTCAATTTATTGTCAGTTAGGTTTCATGTGATATGGGTCATGTTTTAAAAATTGCTCTTTCTAAATTGACTAGCACTGTCACAGTTTGAGTGAACTTAATATCAGGTTAAATTGAAACGTGCTTATACTTTTGATAATTGAATTAGCTTTATATTCATAAACCTCTTGTAGTCATCAAAATGAAAAGTATTACATGATTTAGTGATGTCATTCAGCATTTATGGAACCATGAGGGATTCTAAACAGGTGTTGTAGAAAAGCATATTCCCTTTATAGAAACTTCACTATAAATCCCAGATACCTTGCTAATTGACATTTTCATTTTCTGTAATAGGGATTTTTTTAAAACAGATAATTTCTTTGAAATCACAATATAAGGATCTAACAGCATGAAAAATATTTCTGATTTACTTTCTTGCCTAATCTCAAATATTACTTGTTTTTTTGACAATTAACACTGGTGATTTTTTGGTATATAAAGTTACCCTGGTTAGGACTTACACGTGACTAATATTGAAATCTTCTCCTAACTTAACCATTTTCTGAAAGAAAATGTCAAGGACGTTTCTTCCAGAGAGATAGATGAAAGGGAAATGAGTCATCCCCTTTCACTGTCTGGGTGTCATTGTCATGCCTGCATGGTTTGCACTGCTATGGTTAACTATTAGTCCTGTGCCCATTATAAACCTCCTGGGCTTAGAGTTTGGCTGTAAAAATGTGTTCTGCAAGAGAAACCTGGCAGATTCAAATAGCAAGAGAAGAGAAAAAACAATGTCAGATAAGTGTGCACAGCAGAATTCCTCTCACCCAGTGATCCTCAAATCCTGACCGGCCGAAAGACCTTGGGGACCAGGTTCTCCACCAATTCTAGATTTCCGCCCTCCTCCCCTCTCCCCTCAGGTACCTTGCCTTCTTACTCTAATTGATATGAAGAATAATGTGGCTTTTATTGAGAGAGACACATTGGGAAGTATATTAAGAAATCATATTTTATCAAAAATATTATATATAAAAACACATTACATCATATGCCATTATTAATTCATGTCAGAATCAAGTGTATAAACTTTATCATATTAAATACATTGATGTTTAAAAAAGCTTCCAGACTACAACCAGAATCACTGCCAAGCATACCATGAGCATGTATGTCTAGGATGTCATTCAGCATCCTTTAATTTGGAATTCTAAAATTTTAAAGTGGAAAACACTGGAGTATATAGTAAAAGAGAAAAAAGAGATTATTCTATAGTAGCTTTTAGTTAGCAAAATAGAGATTTTCACCTACTCTAGTTTAAATATCTGCAAGCTCTAAAATGTCTCCTTGGTGAGATGCATGATCTAATATGACCTTGTGACAGATTATATAAAAAGATAGATTTCTTTGTTCAACAATGAAGAATCACTGTAATAAAAAATACTTTCCCTCCATTCACCATCAATTTCTAGGCAGAAAGAAAGACATAATGAGCTTAATTGGCTAATATAACAAAATATTTCAGGGCACACAATAAATTTGAGGAAGGATATAGATAAATCTTTTCCATTTTTAATAAAAATCATTTAAAATA